ACATACATTTTTATTTATATTAATGTAACACCAATGGAATTGTTAATAATTATTCTAGATATCCCTTTAATATTAAAAGAGAAGCAAAACAAAAGAATAACCTTAAATATGTATTATATTTACAAGCATGCCATTTTGGTGAGGTGTCACAATGAGAACTCTCCTCAGTTACTTTTTACTTATGTCCATTAATTTCTAGAGTAATTACTAACTTTGCCATTGATATGTCTTTATAAAAAAATGCAATAACACTTATAATACTTCATATTGTATTGTTATGTTTTAACCACCGTGTGGTCTTTCACACGTGTGGTCTTTCACACGTGATTTTCATCTCCTACCAGGAAAAATGTGCCTTTGATTAATTTCATATAATAATACTTATAAATCTATTGATGTGTTAAGCTTAAACGGGAGTGTAGCATTATATAATCTGTACAAGAATAGGTTGATTAGAGAACATCCACACAGATGTACTCATACAATATGAAGGTAAAAATAGTAGACTATTAGAATCCAATCATAATAGTATTAGACGATTTTGGAACAAGCTAAGTTATTATTTATGCTCATATGGACTTTACCATAAAAGTTCTAAGCTACACTTTTCTCCAAGTATGTGTACAAGATTAATGTAAAGATTTTTTTTTCAAAAGAAAAGATTAATTGAAAGCTAAGAATATAGCAATACTAAATATTCAATTGGATAACATTATCATGCTCAGCTAATTAATTTTCATAAAACTGCAACATTTTCTAAGCTTAATATTTCTATGGACCCCATGCATGCAGTTACATTTCTGTGGCATAATCTTTTCATTTTGTTCATTGGTCTATATTGTTAGTGAAAATACTACGAATGTTTTATTCAACACACTTGGTCAACACGGAAATTTGATTGCCTCTGTTAAAATCATGTGAACGAAATGAGGAAAGAATTTAAATTTTCAAAAATCAGTATATTCCTAAAATTGAGCTTTGTCAACACGTTAAATTTTGGCAACATAACCGTTCAGCATGATGTTGTATGTTGTGCGTCAACTATATTCGCAAAAATACTATAGTGTAGGTACACATATAATGAAACTTTTTAAGTTCGAAGGAACAAAATGTATATGATTGTGGTTTCAAAAAAAGTGTAGGAACACATATAATGAAACTTTTTAAGTTTGAAGAAACAAAATTTATATGATTGTGGTTTCAAAAAAAGTTGCGTTGCGAAATAAAATAAAGTCGTATATAAAAAAAAAGAAATAATCATTATGAAATTAGGGTTGAAGGGGCGTCGTATAAAACCTAATTCCCGTTCCTTCTTTCTTTTCTGATGAATTTTTTTTTGACATATATAACCAAGATCAAAAAAATTTAGAGCCCATTTTGAAAACATAATGTCGTGGGTTTTAATTTGTTACATTGAAAATTATGTCACCTGATATAATGAAACCCAAATTATAAGTTAAATATATTCGCAAAAATACTATAGTGTAGGTACACATATAATGAAACTTTTTAAGTTCGAAGGAACAAAATGTATATGATTGTGGTTTCAAAAAAAGTGTAGGAACACATATAATGAAACTTTTTAAGTTTGAAGAAACAAAATTTATATGATTGTGGTTTCAAAAAAAGGATGCAACTAAACGTTCAATATGTAACGTGTAATGTTTAACAAATATGTAAATTTGTTTTACATAAGTATCTCACCCCGTGCAAGGCACGGGTATTTACCTAGTAAGTAGGTATATGTAAAAGAAGGTTGAAGAGAACTCTCATACTGACAAATCAGGAAAATGACATATCTGTAAATATATTACACACTAAAAGTTAATATTTTTTTTCGCTTCTCTTTTAATAATAAAGGGATGTCATAGTATATTTCAAAAGTGTTAGAAATATTCCTTTTTAATAATACTAGAGATTTTACCCGGGCTACGCCCGGGTTCATATAATAGAATTATATTTTATATCTATATTACAATGTATTACTTATATGTTATGACAATATAAATAGTAAATTGAATTAGGAATGACTAAAACTCACAATTTATTGTTTTTATTATCTAAAATATGTATGGGGTGATGTACGAATGTGAAATGAATAAAGAATTTATTAAACCTTAAATTATCCAAAATATGTTTTTCCTTACATATTAGGTTCTTATAAGAATATATTGTTGTCTAAACACAACATGTTTATTTGTCAAATGTATTATTTTTATCATGTTTATGTTTTGATTTATTTGTTATTTAATAATTTATAATATACTTCCTTATGACTATAATCTATTTTTACAATTATAATAAATAAATCTAATCTAAATACTCATTGCTTTAAATTAATCAACTTTTAATGTTGTATGTGTTAAATACAATGAAAAGTTCTGTGAAAATATTATTATGTTCTATATTATTTTTTAGTTATAAACAGAAAAATAGCTTACAATCTAGCTATATTTAAAAATATTATTCTGGATTAAAAATCAGTGTAAAAAGTTAATCAAAATATACTCAATAGATATTCAAAATTATTACTTTTATTATTAAATATTAGTTGGTTTTACAGTTACAAATTTTTAAAATCCAAACAGGTTATTAAACTGTTATTAAAGATAAATTTTTTGTATACAAATTAGGGGATTTTGAATAGATTTCAGTCCACCATTATGATCCAAAAACATCATTTCATATTTTTGTTTCCTTTCCAGTAAATACATTCTACAATCTTATACCAATATCACAAACTGAAATTTTTTTTTCTAATTGGATATAGCCTTATATTTCTATTTTCATTTTTTTAGTGATTTAGATGATTAGTTTTTCTTTTGTTTACTTCGAGTTAACTTTAATATTTGTTTTGTTAAACTTCATACACTATTTGATTTCTAAACTTTATCTATTTTCTGTGAACCAAATTTAAAAACATTTGTTGGTTTGTTATTGCTTAATGTAGTATTAGTTTGTCTCCTTTAATGGTTTCTTCAATTTCCTTATTCTTCTTTTTTTCTTCGTCGGCTAAAGTCTTTCTAACCAGTCCGAGATTAGAAAATAAATAATGCGATTTAGACATCTAACGCAGAACATCAAATTCAGATTCTGAGATGACCCTACTAATTACTACTTAGCAATCTATATAACACTAAATGTAAAGAGATAAAGTTTTTGTATACAAATTAGGGGATTTTAAATATATTTTCAGTCCACCATTATGATCCAAAAACATCATTTCATATTTTTTTTCCTTTCCAGTAAATACATTCTACAATCTTGTATCAATATCACGAATTGAAAATATTTTTTTCTAATTGGATATAACCTTATATTTGTTTTTCCATTTATTTAGTGATTTAGATGATTAGTTTTTCTTTTGTTTACTTAAATTTAACTTTAATATTTGTTTTGTTAAACTTCATACACTATTTTGATTTTTAAACTTTATCTATTTTCTATGAACCAAAATTTAAAAACGCCTGTTGGCCAGTTATTGCTTAATGTAGTATTAGTTTGTCTCCTTTAATCCTTTAATGGTTTCTTCGATTTCTTTATTCTTCTTTGTTTCTTCGTCGGCTAAAGTCTTTCTAACCAGTCCGAGATTAGAAAATAAAAAAAGTGTGATTTAAACATCTAACGCAGAACATCAAATTTAGATTCTGAGATGACCCTACTAATTACTACTTAGCAATCTATCTAACACTAAATGTAAAGAGATATGACAGGTCAATAAGTGAAGAAAATATGTTTGTTAATATCTGTCACATGATTGTATAATAAGATAGCTATCTTGATAACTTGCAAACTTTCTCAGCTGCTTGATAGTACGTGGAAACATACCTACTATATCAGCTTTCTTAGTGTCTCATCTTCATCCAAAGAGTTATAGATAGTTAGGAAATAATTCGACAACTTGAGATAAATTCTATTGTACATACCACTATCAGAGTTGAGAACAGCCTATGACAAAGACATAACCGGACTTGTATGATAAATGAGAAACTGACTTAGAAAAAATTAGAATTTATATTTTTTGTTGACACTACAATGGATAAATGAAAATCGTTGCCATACCTTTAAAACTTGGAATAAGTCATCATATCATTTTCTGTTGCTGTCTTCAAGTGCGTATAGGAAACATAATCTTTTTTTGTGGATACCATTCAATTGTATTTAAACCGGAATTGTGTATTTTGATTTTTAATGACAAAAAACATCTTTTTGCATTTTTACTACTATTCTTTTTTATTTTTTTTCCTATGATGTTTATTATAGTGATGGACATAAATACGTTAAAAATTCACAGTAATGTATTTCCAATTCTTTTTTTTTTCTTAATTGTGTTTCTGACATCATTTATACTTGTAATGGTTACTAATCATTAGAATTATTTGGCTCTTGTAATGTATGTGGTCCAATGGAGAACCCATTTAAAAGTGGGATGCATAATCGTGGTTTGAATGATCAGTAAGAATATTTAATTTTGAAGGTGGAGTTAGTTTTCAATTTTATGTTGTATTTTGAATATAATTTTTTTTAGTCTAAATAATCTCGACTGAAATTGAAGTGTTGTAGGGATTGGTCTTTTTTCATCATAAACCTATTATGATATTAATTTTTTTTGGCCAAGGTACTGTGATATTAATTTAAGTGTCTGTACTTACAAATACAAATCGGAAAGTTGTTGGGAGAAAAACAAAAGGGAAAAGGTTTTTTTTTTTTTTTTTTGCAACACCAAAAGAAAATCCTATGAAAAGCATCTGTATGCCAGCAAAGTGGTGGAAGGAAAAAAAAAAAGAAAGAGAAATCTTCGAAAAAAACAAACAGCTTAGATAGATACTGATAATGGTGCTATACTGCTATCAAGCAACCAAGGATTATTGTTGGATTGTGTCTGGTTTAGTTACGTCTCGTGCGCTTAGCTTTCTCCTGCACGCCCCTCTCCTAGAAAGATGCACCTGAGCTGAAACCCTGAGCTGCAGCCTGCAGGTTCCATCTATGGAAGAATTGAATTACTCCAGGAGCATGTGTTGTTTCATCGATTGCGTCGGGTTGTTTTCTGCTACCACAAATGGTGGCAGAACTGCAGGAGAAACAACATTTGTCACAGTTATGGTCCTCTTAACTGTAAAGTTGTAGCTGGAGACTTCCACCAGACATTGTAGAGTTGGCATCTCATGGTTAGCACCCAATGTCCCCACTGGCCTGCCATATCAAACATGATTTAAGTCAGTTTAGATTGTTTAGGAGGTGAAATATAAGATGAGTATGAGTAAACTCAAAGAATTGTCAATCATCTTTGACCCCTGCCTCCATGTTAGCTCAGGACCAGTATCACAAAGGAGCACAAAAGTTGCCTTCTCGCCATTGTCATAGACAGACATCTCAGCACGGTACCTGTTACAAAGAGAAAGCACACGTGAACAAAATGCTAAGCGAAAGTGTAAGATGAGGGTTTTGTAATGTACATTTCAACTCCAGGAAAAAAAAATCAAATCACCATCTAGTCCAACATAATGAAAACACAACAACAATGTCATAGATTTAAATCTCAAGAAGACCATTGTAGCTTGCTATTAGTCAACATAACATACATTTTCCCCATAACTAATTCAAATCAAACTCATCTGATCAACGGATCCAACGTGGCATTTCTTAAGAACCTCCTCAAGACTACACCTTCAGCTACTTTATCACTCACTCTGTAAGGAACAACATCATCATCTCCCTGACTTTGCAAGCTACTGCTGCGTCTAGCAGAAGAAGCAAAGGCAACAAAGTGTAGCTGAAACGCACATTGAAAAAAAAAACTTTATCAACATCGAAAACCAAAGGTGGAGACTTTTGAGGATACTTTACTGGAAGAAACACTGTAGAAAGAGGAGTACGGCGGAGGAGGCTGGGCAACTTTGGGATCACGGCCGGATCCTTATGAGGGGTTTGCGATAGGCTTAGAAGCTTCAAGGTGAGAACTTTGATCTGTGCGAAGAGGGCAGCTTCTCGTCCTCCCTGGTCGCCGTCTCCGTTGGTTTCACGACGGACTACGACGGAGCTCTCCATTCGATCCGATCAGTTATACAAAACCGATGCTTTTAGAGCTACAATGGCTAAACGATTATTACCTTCCCATGGAGGTGAAGCGTGTGGCAATACCCTAGCACTCACTTCAGAAAGGCTCTTCTCAACATAAAATGCAGCCTTTTGATGAGTAGTTTTCACCTTGGCTATGAGTACTCTTAACTGAAAGCAACTGGGAGGGAACTAATCTTCTGAGGAAGGCAGGAATACCAATTAATCTCCTTCGTACATATTTTCATGTCCAAGACTGCCGCTCTGGATCTCGCGTCTAATGAGAGATTCATATATCCCATGTTGTCATCGCCTGCAAAAAGTATATTGTTTCGTTCTTTCCTTCTCCGGTTCACTTAAAGCTGACTATCTCTCCGTTACTGAATACACCTCAAACAGTAGTCAAAGAAAGGGATCTGTTAAATATTACATGTTTGGTGAGATCTTTCGAGAGTAGTTTGCTTGGATCAAAAGTGATGGAATGATTTATATAGGAAGGTAAACAAAGGGAGTTGAAACGAAAGCATAAAGGAAGTAGTAAAGAACATGATTGATTGATGGAGAGTGGGTTGTGATAACAGCGAATTGTTATTATAACAATTCAAAACGATGATGAAGAAGAAGAGTCGATGAAGAAGAAGAGTCACCACGATAATGAATTTTATCGGAGATTTGGTATTGCTAAGATATGGGCTTCGTATTAGAAGTGGATATTATTAATGGCCCATACACCTGGTCCGGTGACTTAAAACCGAAGCCTAAATACTGAAGCCCATATGACGTGTTTTAATGAAATGTTTTGATTGGAGGAATATATTAAGTGACGTGGATAGGCTAAGAATCCTTTATATGCTCCTTTTAATTATAGTAGATTGATATTTTTAGGGTATAAATTGTAATCATTTTATGTTTCTTTTGGAATCTTTGATATAATATAATTTTTAGTCGTTTAAAGAAAAAGACAAGTTTCTAGATTCTTCCACATAGCTAAGGCCGTTGGCTTTTGCATGACCTTCCGTAGAATAAGATAAAATAGGCACATACTGATCAGATTCTTTGTACGCAGCTCCCGGTCTTGCATCTTAGGATCAGGTTTAGTATCCGTCTGTCTTTCCCATTCATCATCTGTAGAAGTATCTCTTTCCTTTAGAACAGAACCTAAACCTATATAGCATTTTATATTTACACAGACCAAAATCACCCTTCCCATCAAACTTTTCCACTTCAAATTTTCATGAAGTTGCTTCCATCTCTTTATTTAACCTGTAAACTTTGTTTCTTTGTATGCAAATTGTTGTAACACACCGTAACCGTCAATCTTCAATACCAAAGAGCTGAGTCTTCTTCACCACACCAGATAAGAATTTCTCTTTGCTTGTTTATTGAACCTTGCCTTTGAATCTCTGTTACTTGAATTTCTGTTAGCCTAAGCTCTAATACCACTTGTAGAAAATCAACCTTGGGTTTCTTGTAACTAACGAATAAAACACAAGTTTGGTTTGCGAGTCCTTCTCCTTCACCGGAGACAAATTCAATATCACTAGACTACAAGCCTTGCATTAGTTGCGTGTTCTATGAGAGATTATGTTTTTATGTGTCTTACAAACGAGATAGTAGAACCCTATATATACTATATGATATGAAGCATATTCTATTTGGAAAAGAATTTGTAAATCACCATCATTTGCATTTAGCGTTGATTTCCCAAAAGAACTTCAAGACTAAGCCCATTTTATTTTGCCCATTTTTCAAGTCCAATTCAAAGCCCACTAAAAGACCCATGAGACACAAAACCTCATAAAAAAGATGAAAGATAATGGTAAATCTTAATATAGATCTGTCTCCAAAGATATTTGCACTGATAATTGAAATATTTATTTACTTATGTGTCTACTACATACTGACTAAACCATTTTCTGTTTTAAATTTGAAATAACAAAAATGAAGTATATGTGTGAGATACTCTTTCAAGATATTAAACCACTACAAATGCTAATGACAAATTTAAGTCGTATATCATTGTATATTTCAAAAGTGTTAGCAATGTTTCCTTTTAATAATATTAATTTTTTAGGCTGTAAATTATAATCATTTTATGTTTTTTTTTGGAATCTTTGATCTAATATAATTGTTGGCCGTTTAAAGAAAAAAAAACAAGTTTACAAAAATCTCTTGTTTAGTAGAATAATCAAATACTGATCCTTAACTTTTAGATTTGATCATTTTCTTGTTTTAGGAGAAAACTAATTTGCTTCTTATTTTAATAAAGTTATAACAGAAACCCTTTTATTTGCATAATATCTAAATTTTTACACCAAATTCTTGGATTCTACCGGATTTGACAATTGTTTTTTTTTTGTTGGTAAAACCAATTTGACAATTGTTTTTGTCTTAGGCCAAATTTTACCACCTTGAAATTTCAAAATACAAGAAGTAAAAGCAGAGAATACATAGACATATGTAAAGATACTACATGTCTACAGCTAAGGAAGGGTAGGACGATTTAGAAACTTTTAAAAGCATTTAAACACACAGAACAACATAGAAAGATATCAAAATTTCAACACATCTTTGTCTTTGTATCTTCCTTTTTCTCTGCGGGATCGATTCAGATATTTGCAACCTCAGTGTTAGTTGCTGCTCTCGAGACATCAAGACCGTTCATTGGTGCTTCCGAGAGACCATGACCGTTTTGTTTGACCAAGTTAGTAATCGGAAGCTCTTCAGCTACTATTTTCTCATCCAAGGGATTAACTACATCTTTGCTTTTTCCCCAGACCACACTATATAGTCCAATGACGATGAAAACTGCTCCGATTATACTGCATATTCATAACAGTGCCCTTTAAAGCGTTAACCACTTGTTAATTATACTTATTATTTTAAACATAAAACAAAAATAATAATTACCTTCCTAGGTGGATTTTCTCAGCCAGAACCAGTGCACCGAGGAATGAAGTAATAACCATACACATAGGACTAAATGACGTCGTAAACACAGGGCCACGTTGCTTTATCACAATGCTTTGTACGTAATACGCAATGCCTGAACAAACCACTCCCTGAAGTATCCCAAATAATAATAATTATTATAATACACAATCGATCAAAATTAATCAGCGACTAATAGATGAATAACTTACGGAGTAAACCGCTGCGAGTGTCCCGGAATCCATGCCGATTTTCCAGGCGCTCAAGTCACGGACAAATATCATCGAAACCGCAAAGTTTAATATCGATCCGATCCCACATATCAACGTCACCAGAGATAGCTCAGCCGGGTAAAGTTTTAATGTGAACGACTGTAAAAAGAAAATTATTTTATAATTTATATACCCATTTAAAGCATGCTTGTTGATTTTTTATTTAAAAGAAATCTAAGTGTTAGTAATCCATTAGGTATAGTTACCTGTAAAATAAAGAAAGCAGCCCAAGTGGAGATACTTCCCATGATGGCTAAGGTTCCGGTGACCCAGTGCTGGCCAGTGGCTGTGGTTGAGCCACCATGGAAGGAAGAATGTGCAGCTTTCACGATTTCAATGGCAGGACCTTTGTACAAAGTCATTACCATTGCTCCTCCCAACGTTATTACCGTTCCTACCACTTTTGCAATACTGTGTATCTTTCTAAAGTTCACTGTCTCAAGCCTGATTTAATATTAAAATTTGGCGTTAGAACAATTATTAAATGGTCTAGACGCCAAAATAAAAGCCATAATGATTTTGACAAATGAATCTTAATCAGTTTAGACAGATGTTTTGACGGTTTATTTTCAAAGTTAATTAGATATAGAAATAATTCAAATAATAAATTGCATATGTAATCTCTCTTTGAAGAAGACAATTTACTTAAGTTTAAGGTACCTGAAAATGAGGGCGAGAATGAAGGTGACGGCGGGAAGTGCATTGGTAAAGGCAGAAGTGTACGATGCTGACGTGGATTTCAATCCTATGTAGTAGAAGTTCTGGTCCATAAGGGGTCTGAAATCATATAACCAAACATTTACTTTATCATTATTATTAATTATGATAACCTTTTCACATCATCTTTTAGTTTGTATAATTAAGTAGATTGCTTTTTCCAAAGATGAAAAGGAAAACGTTAAGGTAGGGTAGCACAAATCAGTTTTCACATTAAAGATGTTAGTTGTGGATGATGATCTCATTTCCAATATCCAAGACAATACATAGTATTTGATAATTTCACGCTTTTACAACTTCACGGTAGTCTGGATCCAAATAGTAATTTTGAAACGCTTATATTTATTTGTAATTGATATTATAATAAAATGATAAATAAATAAAAAGAATAATTTATTTGTTAATCAATTTAAAATAGTGTAAACGACTTTTGTGAGTATTTCTTCTCTCTAGCTATGTAACGTGCCCGAACTAGCGGCCAGAAAAAAAAAAGAACGTAAACGTATCGAAACTTATGAATGGGATTGGCATCACAACTATTAATCCATAACTTGTGGACCATAAGTATCTTTCGATTTTTCTAACCATATTCATGACTTAAGAACTCGTATACATCAGTAAAAAATAGTGTTTTCTATAATCAAAGCCTTCTTTATATTCTAAGCCTTACTAAGTCGAACCATATATGCTCATCAGAACGTGTATATAATTTGAGAAAATCTAAATCATGTCTTCATTGAATGCGTTCGTATATGTACATATGTATTTGTTCAATATATGTCTCAAAAAATATGTTAGATATCACAATCACTGAAAAAATAAAGTTATATATATAAACCAGACTTTCTAATCGTACAGAAAAAGATGGCTTATTAATGAAAGAGACTTACTCTAGTATTCCAAGAGCAAGAAGCCTATAGAAAATTGGTAGTGTCATCTTAGGCCTAATTTTCCTGGAAACACACAATGATTAAGAGAATTATTCATCCATGCAGCTATATTCGATCCTACGTGCCTAGATATATTTTTTTCTGATTGATACGATACCTCTCGAATACTAGAGCAAAGGGAGCCATGACCAGCGTTGCAACGATATGGCGGTATGTGGCAAGGACCCAATGGTCCATGCCATGCTTGAAAGAGACCATGGTAATGATGTACATGCCTGCATACCCAAATTGCAGTGATATTATCGCTAATATCGGCTTCAGTTTCTCCATGCTTCCACTTCCACCTTTCATCTTTGTTAGTTGATTAGTATTTTAGTACTCAATAAATCGATACTATATCTCGATTTATATAACACTATTATGTATCTATATGTTTATGTATAGAGAACCCTCTGCCTATTTCCTTTATATAGAGGAGAGATGTTTGGTGGGTGATGAGATAAGCTCAATTTTCTTGAGGCAGGCAAAACCTAATGGAGAATGACTCCTTTTTATAGTCGAGCAAAAGTTGGATTAAAAGATACACTCATTATTTTGTTCACTCAATAATACGTCTACGTATCTTTTGGAATATTTTAATGCACTACAGTAAGAGATATGAATAAGTAACAGAAAAATATGTGTCACATATTTTACTTTTACATATGCATATCAGCATATCGTTTATGAGAATTCATTTTGGAATTTCTTTCTAACTCTTTTTTTTCCTTAAACGACTTCACAATTAAAAATTTAAGCTATTTTATTTAAAGAACGATGTATATACATGCATGTAGTGCTTATTATTCCTTTCAATGCGTAACACGTGTTTGCATTATTAAAGTTGATATATCACATTGTTTTCTCCATGTATATGATATCAAGTAGTAGGTGGTAGGATGATTGTGTGTGCATAACAATAGAGTACACAAATATATTTGTAACTATCTCCTGATTTCTATCTAGTAATTTATTATTCTTCTAGCAACAACTTTTCTTCTCATTCTATCAAATTCTATACGGGTGAATAAAAACAACAATGTTTTTCTTTCAGAAACAACTTAACCTCATTCTATCATCAAACCCTTCACAGTGTTTTCCAATTTAGAGTGTGAACTTAAATCATAACAGTGTCAAAACCTTTCAATAAATATATAATTTTATTAACAAAAAATTGAAGAACTGTCTGATATTTTGTAGAGTTTGATTAAGCAATGATTTCTTACGAAAAAAAAACAGCGAATTTTTATAATCGTGGGTAAATGTGGAAAGTTGCAATCATTTAGGTCAGACATACCTCATATCTAAGAGTTGACATTTTATCCGTTAAATTTAATTAGATGTGTTATTTACTTTGATTTGTTCCTAATAATCTGGATATTCATAAAGTATAAATACATATATATTTTTTTAAATGTAGAATTTCAAATATACAAGTTAATATACTTGTTATTCTAACAATATATTCTATTCACACTATTATACTTATAAAATATTAAATAAAAAAGAGACGATTGTTTATGACATTTATAACTTTTTCTTAAGTTTGTCTTTTATATTATTAATTTGAAAATTTACAAACATATGGTTTCACTACTTCTTTTATTTTTTATATCATGCATGTATAAATATTTTAAAGAACACATTTATCTCGAATTTTCTGTATTAATTATATTATGTAAAACATGTGAAATATCCATAAATATGCATAAATATCCACAAATATCTATATGTATTTTCTGAACTTGATTTTCCAAATATCTACATTTTCCCGGAGCAAAGCAAATAAGGATGGCTGCAAACCACATATTTTGGTATTTTTTTCTCTACTTGATAATTAATCGCATAATTTTTTTTTAAACAGTACTTTCTGACGCTTTAAACCTTGAGCTTTTTTGACTAGTACTTTAAAACTTCAAAATGACATTTTTGTCACAAAAATCGTTCAACTTGACATACTTGTTCATCAAATAACAAAATGACATATTATACAAGTAAAAACAATGATATGTCTGTTTTTTTCCCAAAATACTTATTTAATTAATAAATAAATTACCTCAAAACAGAAAATAAAATTACAAAATCGGACCGCTATATAAAAATTCATAAATTATACAAAATTCTAAAAAAATCAAAAAAATTAAAGAAAAGTTCAAAAATAAATAAGATAAAGTTTAAATACATAAAATTAAATAAAAACTCAAAATCAAAACTGTTAAAGAAAATTCAATTAGAATTAAAAAAAATTGAAAAACTTAAAAAATAATGTTTTAAATAAAATAGTTTGAAAATATCATCGCCAATAGTGATATGTTTGAAAAATTTATTGTCAACGATGATATGTTAGATTTTAAAAAATGAAAATCTAGTATTTTTATGCGATTTTCCAATAACAATGACATATCATTGTTAACATCATAAGTTTCAAACATATCAATGTTCACGATGATGGTTTCAAACAGTTTTCTTAAAAATATAATATTGCAATTTTTAAAATACTATTTTGAATTATTTAATTTTGTGAATTGTTTTTAATTATTTTTTTCTATTTTTCTTTTATTTCCTGATTTTTTGCTTTAATTTTTGATTTTTATTTATTTTTTAGTTGTTAAATATTATGTTTTAAATTATGATTAGTTAAATGATTATTTTTTTGAGAAAAATTGATACATGAACATCTTTACGTTTTCAATTGATCAATTTTTTACTTGATGAACAAGTAAGTCAAATTAAACATTTATTTGTGATACAAATATCATTTTCGGTGTTTAAAATGCTGATTAAAAAAATCAAAGTTTAAAATGTCAATTAATATCATTTTAAAGATTTTGTATGCGAAATTCCCAATTATTTATACTAGTAATACTTTTCTTGGCTTGTACTTATACTTAATTCAATTAAGTATTAAGCAAGTAGTGATCTAAACTTCAAATACTTACAAAGTACTTCACTATACTTGATACTTCTCTATTTAAACTCAAAAATTTAAAACTTAATGTACCAAAATAATTATACTTAATACTTAATTCATATTTGCGAGTCATAAAATTTGTGGATTTATTATTTGACTTGACAATGCTAAATACTTGAGTTTTCAAATAAGGTACAAGGTACATAACAAGTATAGAGTGAGTAGCAAGTTCCGATGCCCCCAGCCTTGGCCAATATATCGAAATAGGTTTTTTTTGATAGATTGAATATCAAATCTCTTGAAGCAAACTGCGTATTCATGTCTGTCTACCCGCTTTTACACAAAAAGAAAAGTCTGTACCCGCAGGTTCAATTCGTGCGTTTAATATTTTCCAGAATAAAATATACAAAAGAAGGGATTCCCTTATCCATTAAACACGAAACACCAACACTTATACATATGTTTTGGTTACAATCATATAGTGTCACTTACAAACTAGGATCCTCAACTAATGCCTTAAAGTAATTATAATAACAAGTGCCTTAAACGAATATATACTGTATATAAACAATTAAATAGTTAGAGACTAAGAGTAAAATTTTTAAGGGTCTAGAGTATAACTTCGTTTCATATCCCCTATATATTATTTGAAAATCATTTAAAAAATTATAATCTTATATTTGTATTAATTTAAAAATTATATTTCTTTGCCTTCTAAATTCTATTTAACACAATTTTAGAGCATCCTACATATATCATAGTTTAAACATATATTTACTAGAAAGATGTTGACCACATATCTTATTAATATTAAAAATTTATTATTCATTCTTTCCTTAAATAAAAGCTACAAAATTACCTAATATGATTAAAAGATATATGAAAATTAATAATTTCAATAATAAAGATTTGCCAACAATTTGTATACCCTCTACCATTTTTGTTTAAATATTTGTTATTAAAATAATTTACACAATTACATTATTAAATAATAAAAATTTATATTGTTTTTGTATATATTGTATTTTGAATTTTTTAAAACATGTATAAATTACTAAATTGTTAAATATCTCAAATAAAAATTTTGTGATCAAGGATTTAAATTTTTATTATAATAAGATACAAATAATTATAAAATACATGAATAAGACGTCTTATTTTATATGTTTATATTAATACATATATATAATTTAAATTAAATTACATACCATATAAAATACTTACTTATACTTTGTTTTTTTTTTGTCGGCACTTATACTTTGATATTTTCATTCAAAAGTATTGAGAATTTCATATTTTAATTTTAAAATTTTCATTCAATTTTTAATAGTTTAAAATTTTGTTATAAAAATATATTGATAATCATAAAACCTTATAATGAGAAAATTCATTTACTAAACATCCATATTTAAAATATATTATAGATATTGTTAATGTCATTTAAATTTAATTGTATTATATGATTGATAAAATTGATTGTGTTGATTTATTTACCATAAAATGGAATCATTCGATTTAAATGCACAGATCAAATCTCCTCTATATTTATTGAGAATCATTTAAAAAGTTATAACCTTAAATTTATACTAATTAAAAAAATCATATTCTATCTGGCAGTTCTCTATGAAATTTTATTTAGAAGAATTCTAGAGCACTTCATATAAAGCATAGTTTTAAAACAAAGTCTATTCGTCTCATATAAGACATATCAGACTAAATAACATATCAAAATAAATCTCCTATATACTTAAATAAAATCTACTGAATTACCCAATTTGATTAAGATATATATGACTATTAATGATTATAAATAATAAATATTTGTTAAAAATCTGTATACTTCATATCATTTTTTTAATTTTTAATTATTAAAATAAATTACACAACTACACTAATCATATAATAAAAATTTTAGAATTTTATATATATATATATATATATATATATATATATATATATATATATATATATATATATATATATATATATATATATATATGTATTTTGAAATTTTCAAAACGAGTATAAATTACTAAAACTGTTAAAAAACTCACATAAACTTTTGTGATCAAGGTCTAATTTTTTTTTCTATAATAAGTTACAATGATTATTAAATCATATGAATAAATAATTTTGTTTTGATAGGTGTTATGTTAATATATACATATATATGTATATATAAGTATATATATATATCTCATATCGTAGTAAATTATTTTATTTTAAACATAATAATAATTTAAAATTTAACTTAATTTTTTATAAAATTATTTTTTATTTAAAAATTAATTTTAAAAAATTTAATTTTCTGATATTATTAGACAAATAAATAAATTATATTAAATTAGTTTTGAAACTTTATATATTTTAAATGCAATTATTTGATTTACAGTTCTAATTACAATTGTTCTTGATCCTACGTATAGATAATTATATAAAAAATTTAAATTTCAAATACATATAAAAACAATCATATGTAAATTTAAAATTTGTAAATACTAAAATCTTATATTTTAATTACATACATTCACCTTGCACAAGGCATGTTGGGGTCAAAATCGGTAC